TCTGAGTTTTTTGGCCCCTCTATGTACAGAGTGGATGGTGAGACATTGCAGAATGAAAGAAACAGGTTGCGCTTGCTGAACAGCCAAAATCTACACCCTTGTTTATAGTCACTGCAATACTTACCAGGCTTTAGGCCAGCGCTAAGCCCTTGCATGCATGATCTCATTGATCCTCAAAAACAAGCCGGGCATGGTGGCTCATGCCTGTAATTCCCAGCACTTTGGGAGGTGGAGGCCAGTGGATCACCTGAGGTCAGGAGTCGAGACCAGCCTGGCCAACATTGGTGAAACCCTGCTCTCTACTAAAATACAAAAATTAGCCAGGATACGGTCGGTATGTGCCTGTAATCCCAGCTACTTGGGAAGCTGAGGCAGGAGAATTGCTTAGAACCCGGGAAGGCAGAGGTTGCAGTGAGCCGAGATCACACCATTATACTCCAGCCTGGGCGATAGAATGAGATTTGATCTTACACAAAAAAAAAAAAAAATTAAGGCTGGCATGGTGGCTCATGCCTGTAATCTCAGCACTTTGGGAGTCCGAGGCAGGCGGATCCCCTGAGATCGGGAGTTCAAGACCAACCTGACCAACATGGAGAAACCCCGTTTCTACTAAAAACACAAAATTACCCAGGCATGGTGGTGCATGCCTACAATCCCAGCTACTTGGGAGGCTGAGGCAGGAGATCACTTAAATCTGGGAGGCGAAGGTTGCAGTGAGCAGAGATCATGCCATTGCACTCCAGCCTGGGCAACAAGAATGAAACTCTGCCTCAAAAAAAAAAAAAAAAATTTAAATTCTCTACAATAAAATGGGGGTACTTTTTTTTTTTTTTTTTTTTTTTTTGAGACAGAGTCTCGCTCTGTCGCCCGAGGCTGGAGTGCAGTGGCCAGATCTCAGCTCACTGCAAGCTCCGCCTCCGGGTTTACGCCATTCTCCTGCCTCAGCCTCCCGAGTAGCTGGGACTACAGGCCCCCACCCTCGCCCGGCTAGTTTTTTGTTTTTTTTAGTAGAGAGGGGGTTTCACCATGTTAGCCAGGATGGTCTCAATCTCTGACCTCGTGATCCACCTGTCTCGCCTCCCAAAGTGCGGGATTACAGGCTTGGACCACCCGCGGACCGGCGGGGTACTATTTTTGCCCATCCTCCCAAAGTGCTGGGATTACAGGCATGAGCCACCATGCCCGGCTTGTTTTTGAGGATCAATGAGATCATGCATGCAAGGGCTTAGCGCTGGGCCTAAAGCCTGGTAAGTATTGCAGTGACTATAAACAAGGGTGTAGATTTTGGCTGTTCAGCAAGCGCACCTGTTCTTTCATTCTGCAAATGTTCTCACATCCACTCTGTGCTGGGGCCCCAAGCTCAGCACTGGAGGTTCTGCGTGAACGAGGCATGCTCAATCCCTGGCCTTAGGTTGCTGCCAGGCCCTGACACCCCTGCTTATTCCTTTTTATTGTGGTAAATACATATAACAAAATTTACCACTTAACTATTTTTCAGTGTACAGATCAATGGCATTAAGTATATTCACACTTAATGTGAATTTTTATATATAAAAATTGTGTAAGATATATATATAGGCTGGGCATGGTGGCTCATGCCTGTAATCCCAGCACTTTGAGAGGTCGAGGTGGGTGGGTCATGAGGTCAGGAGTTCGAGACCAGCCTGACCAACATGGGGAAACCCTGCTTCTACTAAAACTGCAAAACTTAGCCAGATGTGGTAGCATGTGCTTGTTATCCCAGCTACTTGGTAGGCTGAGACAAGAGGATTGAACCCAGGAGGTGGAGGTTGCAGTGAGCTGAGATCACACTGCTACACTATAGCCTGGGTGACAGAGCAAGACTCTGTCTCAGAAAAAAAGAAAAGAAAAGAAAATATTTGTACAAATAGCTCTTTGAAACCCTGCTTTCAATTCTTTTGGGTATATACCCAGAGGTGAAATTGCCGGATGATATGGTAATTCTGTTTAACTCTTTGAGGAAGCCCTATACTGTTTTTCTGTAGTGGCTACATCATTTTACATTCCTACCAACAGTGCACAGTGTTCTAATTTCTTTACATTCTTGTCAACGCTTGTTATTTTCTGTTTTGGTTTTGTTTTGTTTCGTTTTTGGATAGCAGCTGTTTGAACTCTGCGTTTTTTTAAAATTTTTTTTGCAGCCAACATTGGTACTCAGACCACAGGACCCGGTGGGGTAGGATGCTGTACACCAGGCCGGCCTCTCCTGCCGTACAAATGTTCCTCAGCAGCACATAGCACCTATCGGGTAAGGCCAGCCCAGCTGCCTGCTCTTAGCCTGGGCTCCTGGCCGCCTGGCTCAGAACCTTAGCTAAGGCGTTGGGCCATGGCTTTTTTTCTTTCCTTGGCTTGTAAAGTTTCGTTTATTAATGTGTACAATCAGTAAGAGATCACCCTTACTGCGAGAAGGGGAAAGAGGGCCAGCATCCTGTTTTATTTGCAATCTGTTTTGCCTCGGTTATTACCAAAATTAATTTGGATGTCCTTAGTGTTTGTCATGAACACCAAGGAAAGGTATTCTAAGAATATGGTGATTATTGAAGGGATGTACTTAATCTTCAAAACAGAATCTATCTACTCTAATCAAAGACTATATATTTATCTACCTGCCCTAAGAAAGGTCTAAACTTTAGCATTATCATATCCTGTGTAGAATTTCAATGTGTCTAGTTTGAACTACTTCTTGGAAAATGAATGAGAAGGGCCTTTTTTTTTTTTTTTTTTTGACAGCACCCAGGTTAGAGTGCAGTGGTGTGATTATAGCTCACTGCAGCCTCAAGCTCCTAGGCTCAAGTGATCCTCCCACTTCAGCCTCCACATACAGGCGTATGACACCAGGCCTGGCTAATTTTGTGTATTTTTTGTAGAGACAGGGGTCTCATTATGTTGCCAAGGTTGATCTCAAACTCCTGGCCTCAAGCGATCCTCCCACTTTGGCTTTCCAAAGTTCTAGGATTGTAAGTGTGAGCCACCACACCCAGTCAAAAATGTGTTAAAATTACGAAGATGTGAAAGGGTGAGAAGTGTGCTGGGGACATGTCCATAAAGCTACTTGATAAAAAGTGCTTTATTTGGCACAAAGTTATTGGTAACACAGGGCTTTCATTTATCAACGTTTATCAGGGACCTTTATAAGTTCATAGCACTACCAGAAATGTCTAAGCTAGAGGCATGACTTCGTCTTCTAATCCGCTTTGCCCTTGCTGGGGACTCTGCACCCTACCTGATCATCCAGACCTTGCCCACTGTTTCCCTCCTCCAGTGCCTCCCTGGCCTTCTGTTCACTTGCCAGGGTAAGTGGGGTTTTTTTCTTCGTTTTTTTTTTTGAGACGGAGTCTCGCTCTGTCGCCCAAGCTGGAGTGCAGTGGCGTGATCTCGGCTCACTGCAAGCTCCACCTCCCAGGTTCAAGCCATTCTCCTGCCTCAGCCTGCCGAGTAGCTGGGACCACAGGTGCATGCCACCACGCCCGGCTAAGTTTTTGTATTTTTAGTAGAGTTGGGGTTTCACCGTGTTAGCCAGGATGGTCTCGATCTCCTGACCTTGTGATCTGCCTGGCTCGGCCTCCCAAAGTGCTGGGATTACAGGTGTGAGCCACCACGCCCAGCCCAGGGTAAGTGTTTTGAGGGCATGCCTATCCATGGTGATTAAGGGATGTGTCCCTGGCACCATGCAGATCCAGGAGCCGGCTGTGCACGTCCCGGGACAGGAGCCCCTGACCGCATCCATGCTGGCTGCGGCACCCCTGCATGAGCAAAAACAGATGATTGGTGAGTGGCTGGTTCTCCTACTCTGGAGCAAGAAGAGGAAGGCTATGAGCTGGCTAGCCTGCTGGGAAACACCCTGAGTGGCGGTCCAACGTGAGGTCAAAGTCCAGTGTTGTCACTGCGCCCCCCACTAGTGGGTGACCGTGGCCAAGCTACCTCTGTTCTTCAGGCACCTATTCTCTTGTCTTAAAACCCTGGTCAGACTAGATGGTCCTGAGGTCCAGAACTTCCAGCGCTGCTATCCTGTGACTTTGAGGTTGGGAGACACTCCAGATGTGGGCAGATCAGGGGACAGAAGGGAGGAGTAGGGGTATAGTCTTGGATTTCTGCTGAGAAATGGCCTGTAGGTGGGGGTTAAAGTTCGTCACCCCTTTCCTGAATGGGAGGAAGCTGCTGTTCACGTTTCCTAGTGCTCAATGCAGGCAGGTGGGGCATTGGTGCATTTGGTAAATACGTGATGTTCCCTGTAGATTCTGGATTCCTTGTGCAATTCATCTCCACCCCAGTGTCCATGGCAGGCCCTGATAAAAATGTCACTAAGTGAACACAAGCTTGTTCCTAGTTGGCAGGTTCTTTACTGCATGGCCACCAAAACCTCCAGACCCTTCACTGAACGCCCCCATTACCACCGCCCCATTGTTTCTTCAGCTTACTTAGCGTTTTGCCACGTTACCCCCTTCCCCTCACCCTGAATTTTTTTTTTTTTTTTGGAGTCTGGCTCTGTCACCCAGGCTGGAGTACCGTGGCACGATCTCAGCTCACTGCAACCTCTGCCTCCCAAGTTCAAGTGATTCTCCTGCCTCAGCCTCCCGAGTAGCTGGGATTACAGGCACGTGCCACCATACCTAGATAATTTTTGTATTTTTAGTAGAGATGGGGTTTCACCATGTTGTCCAGGCTGGTCTCGAACTCTTGACCTCAGGTGATCCGCCCGCCTCGGCCTCCCAAAGTGCTGGGATTACAGGTGTGAGCTACTGTCCCTGGCCTTACCCGGAAAACTTTTAAATGAACTTAATGGAAGTAGAAGGCTTTGTTACTAGTTCTCTGTAAACATCTTCACTTTCTTCATGGGAAGACCCCTTCCGCCCTTTCTGCCTTAATTAAGAGGCACCCCATCCTTGCCGGGCCCTGCACACAGCTGAGACAGGCAGACCCCCAATACCAGGCCCTGTCATTAGAAGTACCTGATGTTAGATCAGGTGTTAAATGTCACAGCCTGGAAGGAGCAGTGCTGGGAGAAGAACCCAGATGTCCTCAGTGCTCCACTCCATACCAGCCCTGGGATGCTGGGATGTGAGCCAGGCAGGTGCACAAGCCATTGGAGGGTGTTCCACACAGGGGAGCGTCTCTACCCCCTTATCCATGATGTCCACACCCAGCTGGCCGGCAAGATCACGGGCATGCTGCTGGAGATTGACAACTCGGAGCTGTTGCTCATGCTGGAGTCTCCAGAGTCCCTCCATGCCAAGGTAAGCAGGAACCTGGGCAGCAGGGAGCCCGAGGGGGCAGGAGCAGAGCTAAGGACAAGGGGTTCTCCTAGTGGAGCTAGTGGGCAGCTGTTTGGCCAGATAAAGTGTTTCTTCTTGCTAACACTTGAAGGCCTGCTGAATCTTAGAGTGGAGGCGGGGCTTAGGTAAGGGTTTGCTACTTCGCACCTCCGTGGACTAACTCTGTGTTGTTCCATAGGTAGGGTTTTGGTACAAGGAAGTGTGTTCTGAATCAGTGTAAGGGCTAAGATTTTTCCAGCTGTCCAGCAGTGTACCGCTGTGTCAAAGGTGACAGACAGGGCCATGGGATCTTGCACGCAGTGGTGGAGGGAGGGTTCCACAGAAACACTGTGGATGGAGGAGGATCCTGTATCCAGGATGCTGAGCCAGGGGGAGGTCAAGGCTCTTCTGGGACCTCCTGGGGCAGCTGCACTAAGCCTTTCCCACTCATGTCCCACAGATAGACGAGGCAGTGGCCGTGCTGCAGGCACACCAGGCTATGGAGCAGCCGAAGGCGTACATGCACTGAAACCAGGTGGGTGGAACGGTGACAGGAGCAGCTGAGTCCGGGAGAAGCTGTAAGGAACTAGGCAGGGACTTTCACAAACACACTGAGAATTGTGCTGTGTCCCTGGCTTTCTCTGAATCACCTAGGAGTTTGGAGGAAGTCGTGAGAATCAGAGGAGATCATTAACTGTGATCAGAATGGGGGGTGGTGGAGGGTGAAGGAGGTGCCCTCTTGCCAGCTGCCCTGTTTGGCTTCATGCAGAATAGGTTGGGCTTTCCTGGGGCCATGCCTGGCTCCATTCTGCCTGCCCGAAGGCATGACCGGGATGAAACCACCTTCTTTATTGAAGACTGGGTGTCCACCATACTTTAAAAACACTTACTTTTACCTTTTTGTCCTCAGAAAAGGAAATCCTCACTTCCACGGCTGCCAAAAGGACAGTGTTTCTGGCTGTCAGTCCTAAGGCCCTGCAAACTCTAACTTATTTCCCAATGAGTCTGTATCTATACTTGGGCTCTGTATCTGAATGAAGGTTGGTCACCCATCCAGCCTATTACCTTTTGCTTTGTGTATTAAAAGTGCTGCAAAATCTGCCTTGCCTCCCACCCTTTTGTGTCTGAGGGAGGTGGGGACAGAGCAAAGGGTAGACATGACTGGGGTGGGGCTCTGCCTCTAAGAAACAGAAACCATAAAGGAGTGCTGAAGTACACAGAGGGCATATACACAAGAGCAGGAGAAGTGTCAGGAACTGACCCGTCAACAGTACAGTGGATGACAATATGAATATCACACAATGGACCAGAGCTACAGGGGCCTCCATCTGATGTGCATGGAGCCCCTGGCTTGGGCACCCTGCAGGGCAAACACCCAGCTGCTTTTCGGCTCCGGGCTGGCTAAGGGGTTGTGTAACATAATTAACCCTTGTAGGAACGCTTTAGGATACCTTCCCAGGTCGGGATTTTCCTCCCCTGGAAATGGGGAAGTCTCTCAAAGCTTCTTCGGGTCAGTTAGTGCTCAGCTTCCAACAGGGACGTACGGTCAAGTCTTTGCCCTCTCCTGTACCTGAGCAGCCAAATGAAAGCTTCTACTGTGACCCAAGCAGACTGGGTTCTGCTAAAAATTCACCAGCAACAAATCTGACTGAGTCCTCAAGGCTGCTCTGCCACTCTCAGCTCCTCACTCTTCCTGTTTTCCATTCCACAGACCTCCAACCTGTCTTCGCCACACCCTGCCTACTTCTCTGGCTGCTTTTAATCTGTTCCCTGTGCAGATCCATCGTCTTCTCCCCAGATGCTGACTGCTGACATTTCTTTAGTCTCAGTCCTGGGCTCTCTCCTTTTCTCATGCCATGTTCTCCTGAGCTATCTAATTTACAAGCACATCTTCAATTTGTACCTAGTCTAGGATGACTCCCCGTTTTTTTCTTCAGCCCAGTCAACTCTTAAGAGCAACTGAGTCACCTTTCTCACATTCCACCACCTACCTGCCATCAGCTCCTGGTTATCTTGGTAACATTCATGTATAAAATCAAGCATATGATTTAACTAAGTCCTCTTTTTTTTTTTTTTTTTTTTAATTTGAGATGGAGTCTCACTCTGTCGCCCAGGCTGGAGTGTAGTAACACGATCGCTGCTCACTGCAACCTCTGCCTCCTGGGTTCAAGCAATTCTTCTGCCTCAGCCTCCAGAGTAGCTGGGACTACAGGTGCCCACCATCACACCTGGCTAATTTTTATATTTTTAGTAGAGATGAAGTTTCACCATATTGGTCAGGCTGATCTCGAACTCCTGACCTCAGGTGATCCACCTGCCTCGGGTGGGGTTTACAGGCATGAGCCACCGTGCCTGGCCTTATTCTGATTCTCTCTTCCAGTGTTGTGTCTCCACAAATGGCCCCACCATTCTGTTGCAAAAGCTAAAATTGGAGGGTTTCCCCAGCCCTGCTGCCATACCACTTTCTCTCCTCCCATCTTCCAGAGAAAATCCACCAACATGACCTCCTACCAAATCGAAATCCACTTCCACTACCTAGTGGAATAAATCCACTAATTTGAGCTAAGCTCGACCCCTGCACTCACTACCTTCCACTGGTTAACTGCATCTACCCTGGCCCTCCCGCAGTCTGTCCTCCACCATGCAGTCCTAAAGCTTCTTTCAAAATGCCTCTCTAATGTCTCATCCTTGCATAAATCCTGCAGTAGCTTCCCACCATTAGAATAAGGACCACTTTACACAGCCTAGGAGACCCCACATGATCTGCTCTCTGCCCTGTCATTCCCACGTAACGGTGTTTGACCTTCTCTGGGAGTGGGGGTAGAATTCCATCACAACCTTTAAGACAGTCACATTGATAGCTGTGTGTCCCTCTCCTAGAAACATTAACCTATGAGAAGCAGAAGTTTTATTCCTCAAAGCCTCTCTGGAAAAGACTGAATGATGTTAACTTTCAAAGATGAGTGATGGGGATGAGGAAGCTTATCACGTTGTGTTCATCAGAAATTTCTGAAGTAGAAAACGAGTAGCCTCTTTGGGTTGTGCCAGCCCTACCCTCTGCGTCTTTACTAGCAAATCAAGTTGCTTGCCTTCTAGAGCTCAGGATGATGTAAATCAGTTGTGACTGGATGTCATGAAACCTACCTCACATCAGTCCTGCCTGCTTATGAGACAATAAAGGGGTACAGTGCCCCACTCTGAAACTGTCCCTTGACTATGCCGATGGGGTTTGTCTAACTCTGCTTCAACCTGGGTGTCTGTGATGGCTCAGACAAGACTCATCAAGAAAGCTCGCTCAGAGGTGGTATGCTTAACACCGAATGCTGCTTAGCACTGTGTGATGGGAGCCAAGGGATGATCAGACCCCTTTGTCTGCTCTGCTCTGTGGAATCCTAAAACTCCACTTCCATAAGGTGAAAACCAGCCCAGGAAAGGGAGGCAGCCCTTGATGCTAGCTAGATCGTAAAGCACTCGCCAGCCTCACCCCATACCATGTTTTGTGAATTTCATCGGCCCTTTCAGGTCCCTGTACTCACTGGCCGTGCTCCCAGTGAGGGCCTTCCACATGCCGTTCTGTCCACGGTGCTTTCCCTCCCCTCTTCACTAGTTAACCTCCCTGTTTGGAACTCAATTCCAGCTTTACTTACTCAGGGACCCCCTTACCTCCACTGCATCAAATTTCCCCTTTTGGGCAGGGAAATCACTTTGAAGACTGCTTCACGACACTAAGGCAAGCTGCAATTTTACATGTGTGGTAACTTCTTGGCTTCCCACTGGACTACCAGCCCTCTGAGAGCAGGGGCTGTGTCTGTTCACTGCTGTCTCCCTAGCACTATTCACAGTGCCTGGCCCATGCAGACAGGTCAATAAATTTGTTCAGCAAATGAATGCCCAGTAAGCAATAGCTTTTATTATTACTACAAAGTTCCAGGTGCAAAGCTGAAAAGGCATAAATGAAAGCACAGCAGACACTGATGTAGAACAAAGCCTTTTAATGCAACAGCTTAAACACACAATTCAACAAAATCAGTCAGTTCAAATTAACTTCAACATATTACAAAGAATTATGAAGCCCGGAGAAGGCCACTGTTGGAACAAAAAGCCAAGTCCCTGCCCAGAAAGCAGGACACTGACCAAGGAGGCCTCTCTCCCACTCCCACCTCGAGGAGGAGTGGCCACAATCACTGGGCTCTTTCATCAGCTTAGGTGCCTCTCTGCGGAAGGCAGCAGCACAGAGTCAAGGACAGCTGTCCAAGGGTCAGGGCTCCGCCTTCCCACCAAAGCAGGGCCTGAACAGAAGGCACTGGGGCTCAGACACAGGAGACTGTGCAAGGAAAGGACAGGACAGGGCAGGGACAGCAGCTGTACACCTGGAGAGACTGCAGCCCTGGAGAACCAGCTCAACAGGCTGCTTTGGATCAGGGCCTTAGGTTTATCCCCCTCCTCCCACCCCTGCCCGGGAGCTCAGCTTGTTCAGATGGACTGCAGTGAGGTGGGGTCTGGGGAAGCTACAAGGGCAGCACTCAGTCTGCAGCACACTTGGGCAGAACAAAGCCAAATGCTTTGCTGATGAGGATTTGTTGGTGTGATCAGCTAGCTGGGTTGGGGGAATGGAGACAGGGCTTCAGCTTCACGCTTAGCCCTAGTGGGGACCTTTCTGGCGCAACCACCATGTCTGTGTTTGACTACACTGAGCTTAATTTGAACAAGCAACGCCTCTTACAGGGTGGAAGGCCATCAAGGGGCTGAGGAGGGGGCTTCAGAGCTCACTTGGGGCATGCTGGGTTTCAGGAGCGGGCACAGAGCAGGTGGCCCGTGGCTTCTCTGGGTAAGGTCAGGCAGGGGTTCCGGCTGCCCTGTTGGGATTTTAGTGTAGGTTCTGCTTCACTTCCTGCCGCAACTTCTGTGCAGGACCATTCCTAGGCTCAATCTGTAGGAGGTTGCTAATGTCTGCAAAGCTGGATTTATAGTCCTAATAGAAGAAAAGACAGGAGTGTGGGGAAGGTTCCCGGACTGGGGTGGGGATAGCTGCTGAGGCAGCAAAGTGTTTGCAAACCCCAGCCCACAGGCCTGCTCTGAGTTATCCTGGGCTCAGGATGAGAAGTTAAAGCTGCAGATATTGCCTCAGCTTGGCTATACCCTATGAACAGTGCCACTGGCATAAATCTCTGTAGCTATGTTGGGACCTTTTAGCCAGGATTTTTTTTTTTTACCTTGAGTGCTTTGTGGGCTTGAGCCCGTCTGTAGAATGCCTTCACGTTCTTTCCATCCAGCTTGAGGGCTTCTGTGCAGTCCTTCACTGCTTCTGTGTACTGCTTCAGGACCAAATAGCAGAGCGCTCTGAAGGAGAAAGACCATTTTGGAGGTTTCAGTCACTTCTTATGGGCCACCCACATGCCGTGAAGTAGTCTGAGAAGTGATCTCCAATTTGCCGAACACCTACTCTGTGCTGGCTACTTTATGTCTTCTTAAATCCTCACAACAATCCTAGCCTTTTTCACAGATGAAACATGCTGGCTCAGAACGGTAAACGAACTTGGGCCAGGTACCGCCAGTACTGAGGGGCAGACCCAGGATTCAAACAGGCAGGCGGTTTGTTCACGGGACTCCAGAGCTTGATCTCATCTAATTATATCATGCTGTACTGCACTCTCCTATACTGAGCTCTTTCAAGCAAAGAAAAGGTTTCCTGAAACCTTTCCCTTGACAGATTAAAAAATTATCTACTTTAAGGGAAAAAATAAAATAAAATAAAAACTACTGAACTCTAATGATATAATGCTGACATGGGGTGAAATGTAAAGACGTTTGCAATTTACTCTGAAGTGCATCAAAGACAATAATATAGACCAACAGATGGCTACACAGTGATTAGGCAATGTAACAATACTAATTGGATAATTTAGATGGTAGGTATATGGGTGTTCAATGTACAAGTCTTTCAACTTTCCTATATTTTGAACATTTTCATAATAAAATGTTGGAAAAAAGTCATGTGCATCCATACAACAATATATTCTGCATCTGTGGGTTAAAAAAAAGTGCATGTGTATGTATATCTTCCTCATTCAGATCTAGTCCTTCTCTCCAAACACAGTCACTAAAAACAAACCGTCAGATGTCTGGGCGCTCATTACATAAGTTCATCCCTTCCACCTCACTGTTTTCAGTGGGTGCAGGTATTCACTAGGTTGGATGTAGCATAATTTGTTTTACCAATTTCCTATTGAGAGGTATTTTTCATTGTTTCCAGTTTGTAAATAAATGATGCCATGATGAACATCCTTGTGCAAGGGACTGCTGTATCCAAAGATACATGCATTTTAAAATCTGATTGGCCAGGTGCGGTGGCTCATGCTTATAATCCCAGCACTTTGGGAGGCCAAGGTGGGAAGATCAATTGAGCCCAGGAGTTTGAGACCAGCCTGGGCAACATAGGGAGACCCCATCTCTTAAAAAAAAAAGAAAATCTGATTGTTACTGCCAAAATGCTTTCCAAAAAAGCTGAATAGTTATTGACAGAGCCTATTTTCCTACAACTGTACCAACTTTGGGTCTTAAATTTTAATGTATGCCAATATGGAAACAGTATCTCACTGTCTTAGTTGCTTAGTTGTGGGTAAAGCTGAACATCTTTACATAAGGGTTTTTAATCTTATGAAATCAAACTTCTCTAACTTTTCCTTTAACGACTTCTGTAACATTTTTTTCCCTTCACATAAGAATACCTTCCCCACTGGAAGACAGTTAATCCATATGTTCTTCTATAACTTAATGGTTTTGCTTTTTACATTCCAAACTGTGATCCACTTAGAATTTACTTTAAAATAAGAAGGTAGGATTCATGTTTAACTCTAACCTGGCTAACCCAACACCTCTTATTAAATAATCTCTCTTTGCCCCAGACTTTATGACACACCAGATTCTCTCATGTTGGTGTTCTCATTTTTTTCTAACAAACTTACCATGAATTTAAAGAAGAAAATTCGACTAGTCCTTTGTGATTGCATGGAATTTATAAATTAACAGAGAGAAAACCTTCTCCTTGTAACAACTTAAAAGACAGGCACAAATTCTTTGGCACTCCTCCCACTGAGAGGCGGAGGGGTATCTGCTCTCTCTCTTTGAATTCAGGCAGGCTCTGTGACTGCTTTGACCAACAGAGCACAGAGGAAGGGACACGATGTGACTTCCAAGGTTAGGTCATAATAGGCCTTGCAGCTTCCACCTTGGTCTCTGGAAACACTCGCTCTTGGAGCCTTGAACTGACAGGGAAGAAGCCACCTACTCTGAGGCCACCACGCTCTCAGGAAGCTCACGCCAGCACACATGAAAAGGCTGTTAAGAAAGTGGAAAGAGGTGCCAGCTTGCTCTAGCAGTTCCATCGCCCAGCCATTTGAGTCAGGCAGCCCGGCTGCCAGACAATCGAGGAAGAAGGCTTTAGAGGATTCCAGCCCCAGCTACCATCTTGCTGACCCTGCATGAAAGACCCCAAATGAGAACTGCCCTTCCCTAATTCCTGACTCATAAATTACAAGCAAAATAAAATGGTTGTTGTAAACCACCAAGTTTTAGAATAGTAGCCCCTGTTTTGAACTTTGAACACAGAGGAAGTCCTTTTTTGGAGACAGGGTCTCGCTCTGTCCCCAGGTTGGAGTGCAGTGGCATGATCACAGCTCACTGCAACCTCCACCTCCTGGGTTCAAGCGATTCTCTCACTTCAGCCTCCCGAGTAGCTGGGATTACAGGTACGCACCACCATGCCCAGCTAACTTTTGTATTTTTTGGTAGAGATGGGGTTTCAGCATGTTGGCCAGCCTGGTCTCAAACTCCTGACTTCAAGTGATCTGCCCACCTCGGCCTCCCAAAGTGCTGGGATTACAGGCATGAGCCACCATGCCCAGCCTGAACATAGAGGAATTCTAAGGAAACTAAAGTTTCCTCCCCATAGGCTTGGCAATTTAAAGAAATAGCCAAGTGTCTGGGAAGTAGAGGAACCACAGTGAAAGCATTATGCACTGTATTGTGACTTCAGAATAGAAAGGTAGTGATTACTAGGGGCATATGAGACTTCTCAAGACTATATTTAAGATGATTTAAAATGCGTAACTTCAGGTAATAAAATAAACACCCTTGACTTTTGGTAAATGAACTGACTCTGTATCCAGTCAGAAGGGTTTTAATTACAAAGGGGTTGGGAAATAACACGAGTGAGTGAAAGGGAAATAAGCCTTGGAGTCACAAAGATCTGGCTTAAATCCCAGCCATCAAGTATTAGTTGTTTAACTTTGTGGTCATTAATTCATCTTTCTGAGCCTGATTAGGTAATACAGGACAATGACCTAAGCTGAAGAACTGCTGTGAGTACAAATGAGATTCTTATGAGAGCTGTTTCAGGGCTGGCAAGTTGTAGGTGCTATGCACTCAGATGTCACCTGCACAAAGGGAGCCAAAGTAAGCCAAAGCCTAGGCACTGTGTCATTCAGATGGGTGTACATGAGGTGGAGCATTAGACTATGTTCAAGACGTTCCAGGATGTGGTAAAATGTTAGCCACAATGCCTAAAAATTCATTTTGTCATTAGTCCTCTAGATTAAATTATAAATCCAATGCAATCACAACCAAAAGCTGTCCAACAAAACATTTTTTGGAATTTGCCAAATGATCTGAAGGTTTAGCTAGAAGAACAAACATGGGCAAATACTAGGAATGCTCTGATTAAGAAGAATGAAGAAAAGACCAGCCTTATAAGATATTATAAAGCAAAAGTAATGAAAACAGTGTGGCGCAGACACCTGCATGAAGAACGGTATCTAAACAAGACAAAACACAGCTCCAAATGTGGCAATGATCCAGAAAAATGAGTTAATGGAGGTGTCTAGCAGCATAAGGTAAGCAAGGTGAAAGAGGGCCCAGAGATAGAGGAGTTAGAAGGTGCCGCACAAATATGAAACAAATAGGCTGCAGGCTTCTTTTTCAAATTAGCCTGGCAGATTGAGGCCCCTCTGGTCCAATCAGCAATAAAACCACAGGTGCAAAATTCCAAAATATAAGCTTTAAAATTACAAGTTATCTTTCCAACTCATTGGGCAGCAAAACCTGATCTGAACTGACATGAAGCTACTTCGTTTCTCTATTCCACCCCATGTGAACATGGAATTTCCAAGTTTCACTGGCAGAAATACTTCTGCAAGCTGCCCCAGATGCTGCTGGAGTGTTACATAATTCAGACCATATTACCTCACTGAAGTGGAAAACACTTCTTTTTTTTTTTTTGTGACAATCGAGTCTCACTCTGTCACCCAGGCTGGCGTGCAGTGGCGCGATCTTGGCTCACTGTAACCTCTGCCTCCTGGGTTCAAGTGATTCTCCTGCCTCAGCCTCCCGAGTAGCTGGGATCACAGGCATGTGCCACGAGCCCAGCTGATTTTTTGTATTTTCAGTAGAGATGGCGTTTTGCCGTGTTGGCCAGGCTGGTCTCGAACTCCTGATCTCAAGTGATCCTCCCGCCTCAGCCTCCCAAAGTGTTGGGATTACAGGCATTGAGCCACTGTGGCTGGAAAACACATTTTATCTCAAGAGTTTGGAATAAGGAACAATGTGTCTACATTAGATCCAAGATTTTTGAACTAGAGAGTGATACATGCATACTCATAGGGAAGGATAAACAGATTTATAACATTTTATAATAAATGTTTTATACTAAGCATTTGGTTTTGATATGGGCTCTTGCTGAATGTTTCAAGGTTCTGAGAGTAAAAGTAACAGGAAGATCTTGTTGAAGTCAGATTCCAATTTTGGTGCCAACATTTACTGGCTGGGTGAGTTGAAGGCAAAACCTTTCCTTCTCTGAGCCTCAATTTTCTCAACACTAAAACAGAAAGACCACCTGTAGTACCTCCGAGCATTGTTGCAGAACAGTCCCTCCTACACAGTGAAGGGACCACGCCCTGGCTCCTAGGCTCTGTCAGTGATCACTGACGGCAGCTCCTGGTGCAGGGCTTTCTACAGGCCCACAAGTCTAACCCTTCAGGCTAGACTGTACCCGTCCTTCTTGCTCTCAGGCCAGGCAATGGTTACCTCACACTTTGGCTTCTGGGTCAGTGCTCTCAGACAGAAATGATGCCAAAATTTCTAACAGGAGGGTCTTGGAGAAGGGTAGGGAGCAGCGTGGTGGAGTGGACAGGCTAAGAGGCTTGTGTTAGGGTTGTGTTGCAGAGCAAGCACACTGCTTTTACTTACATTATATGCTTATGAAAATTCTGGGGACAGGGGCCAACAAAGCCCAGGCTACCATTTGGCATCCCTCAGTTTCTACCCTTTTGAGATAATGAATGCCACTGGTCATGTCTAGCTCACAACAGGGATGCATGTTTTCAGCCATAACATACTTGACTAAATGCTAGGGATGAAGGGCCCACTGAAGTCCAAGAGTAGACTATGAAACAAAACATCCAGTGTCCTGAAATGCCCCAGGCCAGCAGCTATGTAGGAGATACCTGTTGCTGTACGTGGCAGATTCCAGGTTACTACACAAGAGGCTTTCACTGTACTTCTCAATAGCTTTCTTATGGTTTCCCTTCTTTACAAGCTCATTGCCTTCTTCCTTCAGAACTTTGGCTTTCTCCACATCCCCAGCAGAAGGCACTAGATACAAATTCAGAAGAGGGAAAAAACCATGGAGCAGCACCCAACTGAGATCAGTGAGACCTCTTCAGCATCATCCCTTCCAAACTGTTCACAATCCTCTCTCCCAGAGATTTCCTCCACTGTTGTAAATCATCCTTCCTGATTAATGACTTCCCCCAATTAATAGCTTCTGGGCAATTCAACAGTTTTCCATCAAGAAGTTGGGGACTCCCTGATATAAATACATTTTTGCATGCACATAAAAATATATAAACGATAAAAAGCAACCCAGGTTCTAGCCTTGTCACTGCCTCTTGGTAGCTGGAAGATCTTGTGTGACCTACAGAACTTTTGGACCTCAATTTCCTCACCAATAAAATGAGGCAATACTAATTACACAGATGGCTATTTTTAGGGTCAAATCTGAGAGTATGTAAGAAAGTACAGAACACACTATATACTTAAAGCAGGACAAGAAGTAAATAAATATTAATACACATCTGGTAAAGAAAGGGTATAGTTTCTGGACTATGGGAAAAAGGGAGAAGAGCTTGGCATTCCTCATCTCTGGTTTGGGCTGAGCCTGTGAGTATCCTCCCTCATCTAACACATGCAGCTCTGCTCCAGCCTTCAGGGAGAGGAAGCAGAGAGAACAAGGTGAAATCCAAGCTGCTCAACTTGGTGTACAGGCCCTTCACTGCTTGGCCCCAATTAATTATTCCAGCCTCGGCTCCATATCATCTGCTTTTTAAATTTTTTAGAACGATGTTTACAAAATACTAAATATTTATAAGCAAGGTAAGATTATAGGTTTACACTGTGAATTCATCACCCAGTTAAAGAAAAGCCACATAACTAGGACCTTTGAAGTCCTGGGGGACCCTCCTCAATTCAATCTACTGCTGGAGGAAACTATTATCCCCAATTCTGTGCTTCTTTCCCACCTTTTAAAACCGTTTAACTGTATACAATAGTACCCACAGAGCAGTTTTGGTTTGCTTTGTTTTCAAACTTCATACAGAAGAATAAGTAAGTCTGTGTATTCTTTTATGACTTGGTTTTTCTTTTTCCCCTTAATGTTATTCTCCTGAGATTCATCTGTGTTGATGCACAGACCTGCAGCTCCTTCATTTTCATTGCTGCAATACCACAGCTAAATTGTCCATTCTCCCATTTATGGAGATCTGGGTTATCTCCAGTTGTTTTTTGCCATCACAGTCTTCTATGAACATTCCTGTGTACATCTCCCTGTGCACACGCACACGGGTTCCTCTCGAAGTAGGGCTTCAGCTTCACTGGAATCCTACAACACACTACTCTGCAGTCATCCTTATTTCCACTGTTCCCCCCATGCACTTTCATTCCCCAACTCTCTCCACCGTCTCTGCCAACGATTCTTCCTCCCTTCCCACCTGATGACCTCCTTCGAGGTCCAGCTCAAGGTTCCACCTCCACTGCCACCCCTTTTGAGTCTTTCCCCGACTCCTTCACACACTTAAGTCAGTTTCTATCCTGAAATCCTCAAACACTAAGACTCTAAAGCACATGTTCCTCTTCCTTGTGTTTTAAGACACTGTTGACATGTCTCAGTCCCTCATTTGATGGAGAGGTCCCTGAGGGCCAAGACTACCTGTCCTCTCTGTGTCACACTGCTTAGCATACACGTGGCTGGGAACACATGGCTCAGTGACCCTGAAAGAATGAAATCAATGGCAGGTGCACTGATGCCATCAGGTTCATTAGCACCCCACATTTTCATCCTAGAGAAGAGTGGGGAACACTTACCAGGCTCCCACAAACCAGACTGAATGCGACCCATGACCAGACAGGGGTTCTCCTGTAGAAGGTGAGTAACTCTTGTCCTCCCCTAACACCTAAAGGTCACTTACACATGGCAGGGCTCCATCTCTGATCCCTTCTGCACCTCTAGCCTGAATCTCTAGCTTGCTGGGCTGGGACCATTCCCCTGGAACATTAAAAGAGCTTCCTAGTGCCTGACAAATGGCCTCTTCCTTTCACACAGTTGAGGTGAGGAGTCTCCTGTTTTTGGCTGCCCAGCCTGGATCTTTCTCTTCTTCATGCTCCTCCAGGGATTCACACAGTGTACATGCTCTTGGGAAGCGTCACTCTCTAGCTCTGGAGGTGGGACAGGTGCCTCAGGGGTGACCTACTCACAAATTCTCATCCTCCGGTTATGGTGTGTACTTCAGGGAATGGCCTATAACCATGAAGACCAGAATAGATTGAGAAATCGATTGAGAAAATATGTGAGCTAGAGTTTTTTGGGGAAAAAAAATCCTGTCTTTTCCTAGTGAGCTAACAGAGGAAGACTTCCTTTCTCTGGGTCATGAGGCATGGGGTATGGATGTGAGGAAGGGAATTGCTATAGCTATTTTGCTACTAGGAGGGAAGCTTGCCAAAGACAAAGCTGACACACAACAGAAAAGAAAGGTAAGTACAGAAAAATGGAGTTAGTCTGTTAATACAGTAAGCTGCTGGAGTAAACCTTGCCTGAATTCTCTCTGGATTTTTCAGTTTTATGAGTCAATAAATTCCCTATACTATTTTTACCATGTTGAGCTTTCTGTTTTTGCAATCAAAAACATCCTAAGTACTACATCCCAAGTACTACCAGAGGAAAGAGAAGGGAACTCACACTGCATGCCTATGTGCCAGGCTGGGAGTTTTATGTGTCTTATGTCATTCAGTCCTCATGGTTGTGAGAAAGACTTTATCATCCTCCTCACTATACAGCTGAGAAAACAATCTCTAAGAGATGAAGACTTCTATTTTGTTTTATACTTTGTTCCTAAGATTATTTTTATAACTCAGCTAAACAATGCCAATTTTTGCAGGACTAATCTAGAGAAAACGGATAGCAGGAGATTGTAAGACTCTGGGCAGGGTGTCACAGCTCACCTCTGTTCTTTGTAGCTGTGGTTGCTTTGGATTTGCTTTTAGCCATCTCTTTGTGGTTCTCCAAAGGCAAAGAATTCCACCTCTTCTGAGCTGAAACAGGTACCAAGGGGATAGAGGGCAGCTTCAGGCGCCATTCAGGCCCAAGCGAGTCCATGAGAGCTCTGGTCATTCTGGAAAGGAAGGCAGGATTGCAGGGAGGCTTCCAGCTGGGTCAAGAAGATATTTCTCCTTTCACACACCCATGGGAGGTAGGCCTTTTCAGAAGAGCCAGAGCTGCCACCCTCCCCCTTGTCAGAACCACCTCTTTAGCTCCTCCAACATGCTGCAATACAGGAACAGAAGTCTGCCACCCATAAACGCCATCTCAGATCAGTCACCATGACACTTCTTGAGCTTGATCAAACTATGTTACCTTTAAAGTGGGGATCTGTTGCTTGTTAAGGATACTTAAACCGTGATCCAAAAAGACTATAATTTCTCCAAGAAAGAATCGTACGTTTTGTTTCATATTTTATCAATGAATCGAGTGCACAACCATGCAAGCACCTGACATTTGTTTAATGCTCAGGCTTTTTAAAAAATGCAAAGCTTACGTCATTCTCAAATCTTACAACTCCTCAGGGGTTCCCAATTCCCTAGGCTAATGTGGCCTGTGAGATCTGGTCCCCACCCTTTCCTGTCCCCCTTCACTGTGAGCCACATTCCCTTCTGATCCTTCCGTTCACAACTTTGCACATGCTTTTTCCTCTACCCAGAACAATCATTTCCATTTTGGAAAAAGATTGCCACCTTCCAGGCCTGGCTAACTCCAACTGATTCTTTAGATTTCAGCTTAAAATGCCACCCAGGGCCCAAGTTCATTCTGTCAACTGATCTCCAGCACCTGGTATATCACCTGGCAACCACCAGGGCCCAATTGGTTATGTGTTGAATGAATGAATAAAGCTAACTGTATACTTTTTCTGCTCCTACAACCATGTTTCCTATATTATAAGAATAAAAACCACAGACTGATATCACCACAAATTCCAAGATCTCTCGGGCTAGGCTGTTTTCCTGGCGGCCAAGCAAGCTATTTCAAACCTCTACTCTCCTCAAACCTGTTCCCTGGCCCTTCCCCTTTTTTAGAGCAAACTTCCTCATACCCCAAATACAAACCTACCTGCCTGGGTGCCCAATCCTTCCTATTTCTCTCCTGTCACAATAGAAGAGACAATGGGACTAATCCTCCCACCTAGGCTCTGGATCCCATCTCCAGATACATATAATTATATATACATATATATATATGATTATATGTAAAATGTTATATATAAAATTATATAATTTTACATTCATTCTTCTGATCTTACCTCTTTCAGGGACCACACCCAGGCAGCACTTCCCTCTCCCACATCTTCATCCCTCCTACTAACTCCAACCATCAGCATTTAAGTCCCTTTAACTTTTTCCTCACCTAATAAAACCATACTGGACACCCCTTGCCATCACAGCTACACTCCCCAGCCTCCCTTCAAGCCTGACTTTCTGAAAGCATTGCCCTCTGGCTCCCGATCCCACTAACTAGCTTCCATCAGAGCCACCGGTGACTTCATTGCTAAACCTTTAATGTAAGCTCCTCGGAACACCTGACACTAATGATGTCTCCATCCTTCTTGTAGTACGCCTTCCCTTGGGACATAATTGCCCTGTTTCCTTCCACCTCTCCAGCTGCTGTTCCTCTGTAAGTCCCTCAAATGCTGGAGTTTCTCAAAGCTCCATCCTCTTCCCACTTGCTGTGATGTTCTTTTTCTCTCTCACAGCCCTAATCCACCTCTATGCTGATGATCCTCAAATCCATATGTCTGACCTGTATTTTCTTCCTTTGCTCCATGTGAATACCCAACCGTTTTAATTACATCTCTAGTCTCATGTCCCACAGTCACCTCCAACTGAATGTCAACAATCTGAGTGCCTTCTTCTATTCCTCCCTTCTTGCTACCCTGCAACCACTAAAGCTTGTTGATATATTTCCTACACGTCCCCTGACTGGTCCCATTGTTTTCTCTCCACCCTCTCCCTGGATTGCTGCATGGCTCCCTTCCATCCTGTTGCCCTTCATATCATCCCTCAACATGGCAGCAAAGAGTTTTTCTTTAAAATACAACTCTGCTCATGTTGCTCCACTGCTACAGACCTTTTCATAAAGCCTCACTTGCTCAGGATTAAGTCCAAGCCCCTGAACACTGGGTCTTGTGTGACCTGGCCTCATCAACCTGTCCCAAGCTGAGCTGCTACCTGCAGCACCATGTGAAACCGACTTCTTACAATTCCTGTGATCTGTCATGCTTGCTTACCCTTTCACATGCTGCTCTGTCTTCTGGCTAGCCCCCTACCCCATATCTCTCAATCTTAGCTCATCTCCTCTAAAAAGCTCTCTCTGGCCTCCCCTTCTCCCTCTCAGCTAGCTAGGTGGCTCCTTTCTGGCCTCAGAGCCCCCTGTCCTGCCTCCTACCATGGCGCTTATCATGTTGTACTGTGCTTGCCTATTACGGACTGCTGTCCTCCTTGAGACCAGGACCTCTATGAGGGTAGGAAGAGGTATGTCTCAGTCATCAGCCCCAGTCCTAGAGCAAAGTCTGTTACGTAATTGGTAGATTTTGTGGAATCAGATAAATTAAAAAGGAGGCAAAGAGAAAACAAAGAATGCTGGTAGACAAGTCAAGCCAGCAATAAAGCACTAAATACATACCATGAAGTCTTGTTAAGGGTTTGCTATTTGTATAGCGTTTGGCTTTCTAGCTGCACACGCAGAGGGGAAACATGATCAGTTATACAAATGGCAATATCCATGAGATAAAAGCCAATTACTGCTCAGAGACCAGAAAGGAATTGCATCTGGGGAACCTCTTGGAGGGGTCACAGTGCAACATACTGAACCATGTCCACAAACCATATCCTTTTAGACTTGTCATAGCTGCTTGGGCTTGTGTCTTATTCTTCCAGTTAGAGTTAGCGCTTTAAAGATAAGTGAGGTCTGTATCTCTTTTTCATTTTGGTATCCCCCACTGAACCTGGCACAATACCTTAAACAGTGCACAATAAATATTACTGTGTACATAGATACTGCGAGGCACATGTAGGCAAAAATCAGTCAATCAATCTCAGTAATTTGGACTCCCTGAAAACCTGCTAAATACAAAAGCGGATTTTCCTTTCACACCTTCCCTTACGTGCCCATTGGGAGTTTTCTAAGTGTAGCCAAAGGGATCCCCTCAGAAGACAGACAAGGCAATGGCCCGCAGCCAATCAAGGACAGGGAGTTGCTGTGGAGACTACTTGCTGTGAATGGAGCTCACCTGTTGATGCCTTCTAGGGCTGACGTCACACTATTATCAATCTGCAGCACAGTCTTATAGTCAACATAGGCCATAGGGTACTTCTCCAGAGCCTCATAAGCAGATGCTCGCCGCAGCAGGGGCTTAATGCTGAAGGGAACCAACGCCAGTGCTCTAGAATAGGAGGCAAACATGTCAACTGGCTGGCTGCTGAGCCACCAGGGTTTCCCTACAGTTTCTTCCAGGCAGGGTTATCTGGAGCACTCAGCGTACAGGAAGTAATTTCTGGCTGAGAGACACAGCTAAAAATGCCAAACCTCAGAACAGGGATTTTTCAGCTTAGCCTGAAGTGAGGAGGGGAAAGAGGGCAGAGAAACATGAATTTTGTTAAATGTGTGTGCACGTGCATCAATTTTCATGGTTTCAATTGCCCCAAAATCAAGAACAAACGCCTCATGGCTTTCACACTACTATGTGTTTTTACAGTTGTGGTCTAGTGGAATAATAAACAAGCTTTGGAGTCAGATGGGGTGGTGTCTGAATTCCACCTCTGCCGCTAACTATGTGACCCAGATAAATCACTTTACTGACCCAACCCTCAGCAACTAAGTTCTGGCCTGGGACACACGGTAAACGTACCCCACAGGTTGGTCGTGAACATTCAAAGAGAAAAATCTAGCACGGGGCCTGGTACAAATTAATTCAATACAGGCTCCGTGAGTATGCTCACACTCCTCCTGCTCTCCTGGCTATCACCAGGGCATGAATCTAAAGCAATGTCACAGGACAACAGATCTGAGAACACATTTCAGGTAAATGTGCACGAGTTTAATGATGATAAAAGAATATTAGACTGGCTTGAAGAAAAAGAGGTATGAAACATTGTTCAGTGTCCTCTAAAACTGGTCATTCATGAATACCATTTTTTTCCTTTCTCTTTGCTTCTTCTGAGACGTCTATTAACCTCTATTCCTCCTTCTTTCCTTTGCTCCCTTCCCCTCACATACTCCCATCCCTGAAAAACACCTGGGCAAGCCAGTTACTGGTCTGCAACTCCACCTCATCCCCAGGTTTCAAATCTCACAAAGACTTTAAGGCCTACTTCTAACTTCCCATCCCACTCCTGTTTCGGCAGTGGAGCCAAGACTCCAAAGACACAAGTCAGGGGCCATAAGGACCAAGTAGAGATTCCCATTCTCAGTAACCTGGTGAAATTCAGTGACACTTTCTTAATATCTGTCCCAGATGTAATTGATGGGATCCTTCTAAAGAAGAAACAAGCCAGATTAACCCAGCCTCCTCTTCTGAGAGGCTCAGACATCCCAAAGTTACCCTCAGCCACTTACGAAGTGCAATCTTTGATGCAGTCTCTGCAGTTTCCATCCTTCAAGTGACACGCTGCTCGGTTGGAGAAGAGAACACTTTCTTCTTCTGGGTCTGAAGAACCTGCCCAGGTAGAGTGGGAAGATGATCAGTCTGGGAAATGGGTGCCTCAGGGCACTAGGATACATTTCATACTCAGAGCTCTTTGGGCTTTGTGTTAAGGCAGTAGAGATAGCTATAACCTGATCAGGCTTGTTGGTCTGCTGGGCTGGCGTGTTTGTCATTCTTATGTGACAGCAAGGACACTGAGCTTTCTGCCATTCAAAGGGAACCAAGTATCTCCTCATACACTCATTCCAGCAGTGAACTTGATAACACACAAAAGATATACATGAAATACTAGCTTCTGCCTCAAAGAAATCCATGCTGTAACTACTTGGGTTTGGGTGGGTAAGTGGATGGATGGGTGTGTATTTTATTATAAAAAGCATTTAAATCCAAGAAAGAAAGGAAAGAAAGAGAGAAAGAGGGAAGGAGAGGAAGGAAAGGATGGAGAGGAAGGGGAGGAAGGAAATAAAGAAAGAGAACAAGATGATAAACGCTATGATAAACGAATTGACCAAAAGTTGTAGGGACACGAAAGACCCATGAAAGACATGAGACTAGTTTTACCTCGTCAAGCCAGAGAGGACTTTGTCAGGGAAATGATAATTGAGCTGGGTGTGATGGGAGTACGAGAACTTTTATCAGGAAAAAGCCTTAAGCTACCCCATGGGGAGAATTATTAGACATTTTCCTAAAGGCAGTCCTTACTCTCAGGAATCGCAGAGGCTCAAGTCCTTCACTGTGGCCACAATGATCTTTATTTATTTTTGAGACAGTCCCACTCTGTTACCCAGGCCGGAGTGCACTGGAGTGATCTCCGCTCACTGCAACTCCGCCTCCTGGGTTCAAGCGATTCTCCTGCCTCAGCCTCCTGAGTAGCTGGAGTTACAGGCGCCCACCACCACGCCTGGTAGAGACAGGGTTTCACCATGTTGGCCAAGCTGGTCTTGAACTCCTGACCTCAGCAATCCATCCGCCTCGGCCTCCCGAAGTACTGGGATTACAGGCATGAGCCACCGTGCCCAACCAATAATGGTTTTTGTTTTTAAAGATAATTTTCAACCACTTCAGACCCACTAGTGTGGGCCATAATTTTAAAAAGAATTGAAAACAGGGTCTCTTTTTGAAAATTTTGAAACATACAGAAAACCATTACCTCAGAATCCACCACTAGATTTAGCACATGTTATATTAGTTCCCAACTTAATTTTTAGAGACAGCGTCTCACTCTGTTGCCCAGGCTGGAGTGTAGTGGCACAATCAGAGCTTACTGCAGCCTCGAACTCTTGGGCTCAAGCAATCTTCCCAGCTCAGCCTCGCAAACAGATAGGACTACAGGTGTGTACCACCATGCCCAGTGAATTTTTAAATTTTTTGTAGAGACAGAGTTCCACTGTGTTGTTGCCCAGGTTGGTCTTGAATGCCCAGCCTCAAGAAATCCTCCTACTCTGGCCTCCCAAAGTGTTGGGATTATAGGCATGAGCCATGGCACCCAGCCCTTAAAATTTTTTTTTATAAAACTCCGGCCATCCCCATCCTTATCCCTGTGCTCCCTCCCCAGACTGCCAGAGGCCAGAACAATCCTGAAGTTGGTATGTAACATTTTCAAGCATGTTCGTCTACATTTATATGTGTGTGTGTGTGTGTTAACAGGTAAGATACCATTTTATGTCTATTAAAGCATTTCCTAAGCGGTATCATACTGCCTATCCTTCTGCAACTTGCTTATTTCACTAAGTATCCTGTTCCCATGTTGATATTTGATATCTTTCATTCAATACCAACAATAACAAGTGTTTTCCCCTCTTGTTTTGCCAGGCCCAGAGGCGGAAAGTACAAATAATAGTAAAATACAACATCCTTGTCCTTAAGGAGCTAAGTATAAGTACCCAAAACCTGTAATCCATCTTGAGTCACCAGAGTACGGTTGCTCAGAAACAGCAGTGGTGCGGCAGAAAGGGCATCAACCCTGCCATCCTGACAGTCACTCAATCGCTCTGATCACGCGTGCCCACCTACCACATGAGGACAACACTTCACAGACTCGCTGGAAGGGTTCATTGTGTCAGCCTGTTCCCTGAGCGATCTTCATGATCAAGAAGGCTGATCAGAGAAATCAAGAGACTTGCCCAAAATTACCTAGAAAATCCGTAGCGGCAGCAGCAGAACCAAACTCTGGTCTTTGCTAAATCTAGATACCAGGCTAGTTTTCCTGTGGACCCAGAATTAACCCATACAAACGTACAAACTTTCCCAGACCAGCTGTGGTGAGATGAATGAAAATGACAGCAACATCAGTACCTCAGCTTCCTCAGCAACTTCATCAAGCAAGGCTGACATGAGGAAGTGGGCCTAAAGGAGAGTTTTCTAGAAAAAAGAAGAGGGCAAAGGAGTGACTTGAAACTGCAAAAAGTGCAGACCAAAAAAAAAAAAAAATGAATGAAATCTGGAGAGGATGTGAGGAGAAGTCTAGCAAAATGATTAAAAATTTGGACTTAGCATCAAAATCAAACATCCATATTCAAATCATGGCTCTTCCATGTCTTCACTGTCAAAGGGAGCCAATTTAACTCTTGGACTCCTCCTTTCTAAGCGTCTTATCCACAGGGCCATAAAAAAGATCGAAGTAGATCATGTCTAAAATGTCCAGCACAAGGTAAAGCAGTCAACAGATGCTAACAAAAGGAAAAAAAAAGGAAGGCGGCAAAGGGAAATAGGTACTGAACGGTGACACACAGAAACCAGGATCCAAGGCTCCTTTGAAAAGTCAAGGCTTTAACCAATGAGGGTTTCTGATGAACTCACTCTGCAGAAGGGGCTTTGGGCAAAGGCCTGCGGTATGCTGACGAAGGCTGGACGCTGGGAGAACTGGTAAGAACATGCTATTCTTCTGATTCCAACTCTCCAGTAGCTTCCCATCCAGTAGCTTCCATGCCAAGCTTCCAGTTTGGCATGAAATCCAAATTTCTTAGCAGGGTTTAAAACCCCTCCACAATAAATAAGGGTCTGCCTTCCTAACTGACCTCATGTCCTCCTATTCCCTGCCCTGGCTCACTATGCTTTGACCCCTAAAACACACCATGTTTATATCGTCTGGGGGGCCTTTCTCATTGCAGTTCCCTTCAGGACCGAAAGCCTTGTGCGCTTGGCTTCCCATCATTTAGACATCACCTTAAATATCACTTCTTCAGAGATGCTGCCGTTGATCTCCCACTCCAGTCAACTCTATTACATCACCCTATCTGTCTTCTTCCTAACCCTGATTATCCCACAGGTCTGGTTTACTTACTGACTCGCTTAAGACTCACGGCCTCCCCACCGCCCCCACAAGAATGCGCTGTCCTTGAGAGAAGGGACTTCTTGTGTCTTGTTACACAGGAGGTATATAACAGCTACTCAACAAATACTAACTGAAAAATGAATCGCTGCGGGGGAGGAGGGTTTAGCTCTATCCTTAGGGCTCAGAACGAGGCCTAAATAACTTAGGGAGGGGCCAACAGGGCAGTTAACAAGCAGGTGGAAAGAAAGGGCCGAGGAAGTTTCTGGTAGGATGCCGGAGTCGGAAGGGGCTGGAAGGGTGGGGGGCCGCGCAGGACCGCTGGCCGCGGGCAGCGCGAGGCCCGGGCGGGGGTTGCGGGGGTTGGAGAAGCAGGCCCGGGGGTGAGAAGGGGGCGGGGGTCGTACCTTGCGACTGCAGCACCCGCAGCGCGCGGCCGTAGAGCGCGGAGGCCTCGGCGTACTGGCCGTTGCGGAAACTCTCATTGCCAGCGGCGCGGAGCTTCTCCACAGAGTCTGGGAATTTGGGGGCCATCCCGGCGCCAGGCCAGCGAGTTGGGGGCGCCTTCCGTCCGTCCTCGTGTGGTGCGGGACAGCGTCCGGAGGGAAGCGCCGGCGGCGAATATCTCCGCCCCACAGCGAACCCAGCGGCGAGGGGGCGGGCCGGAGGCGGGGCCTGTGAGACCTGGAGGCCCGGCGCGCCCCGCCCTCTGCGCGTGCTCGGTTTGGAATTTAGACGACTTGCACGCCGGGCGGCTGCATGCTCTGGACTCCCTGCGTTGCTAGAATGCTGTGAATGACGCAGGGAGGGAGGCCGGCCCCGCTATCAGGCAGATTATGTCCTAGTGGGGTCCCCACAGGCAATTAACTGATAAGCAAACGAAGACTCTAATTTCATGTGATTAGTGTTGTAAGGAAAACAAAACAGGATAATGCAATGGAAAGTGACCACGTGTGGGCTATTTTAAATAAGGGGATGAGGGAAGGCCTTTCTCATGGGGTAATAATTGAGCTGAGACCAGACAAGATTTAGGGAATGCTGTTCCAGCCAGAGGGATGGTAAGTGCAAAGGTTCCAAGGCTAGAAAGTACCTGGCACCTAGTGCTCTATAGATACTTATTTAATAAATGAATGCACAGGTGGATTGATGGGGTCAAAGTCAACATATAGCGATGAATCTCTAAAGTTTAAATATTTTATTTGGGAATCAAGAATTGCAATTCAGGGCTTACACACAGACCGGGTTGTGTTTGGTACGTCAGAAGAACAAAGAGGTTTGGAGATTTTATAAAACAGAAATGTTACATATTGCTCTTCAAGGAAGTTTACTGGCACTAGTAAAGTGGGGGTTTATCAGCTTCTTGGGGGCTGGCAAGCTTTGATTGGTAAGTGATAGCAGTGGATAAAACTCAGAATTGTAGCAGGCTGTTTCAGTAGCTATTAGGTAAAACTGGTTTTAGGTTACAGCAGGCAGTTTTAGCAGCCAGGCTTGCAAAAAATTACTTTTTTGGAGCAATGTTATATGCCCTGAGTATTTGTTTCCCTGGCTTTTCAATTCTGTCTTAGTTGGATATGACAAGAATGACCCAATTCGTATGATCAACTTTCAGAGTGGATGAAGATCTTTCACAGTCGGTGATTTCTATTTCTCTCCAGCCTCATCTGAGGTCTCCATGTCCCACGCATTGCTATCTACACACACTAAGTTCTTGCTTCCTAGCCTTTGCTTGTTATCTCCTTCTCCTGGATTTTTTTTTTCTGAATACTTTTTCTCCTGCCTAATCCTGAATTAACTTATAACATTCCATTCAAACATCATCTTGTCTGAAAGCCTTTCCTGATTCCAGCCTCCTCCCCACCCCTACTATGCTCCCTTTGCTCCCTGTTGGTCTCTAGCTTTATTCCTAACTTTGCATTTGTCACCCTTCGATTGCCAGTTTGTAGTTTTCCTTAAACACTGTGAGGTCTTTAATGGTAGGAATTGGGTCCGCTTTATCTTTGTTTATCCAAGACCCTGATACGGTCTGGCATTCAATAAAAGTCACTGATAAAGATCCAGTCTCTACCTTCAGGAATTCAGTTATAATGATGTGCATACACTTAACTCCATCAGACTATAAGCTTTCTGAGGGCTGGGTGGATGTTCCATCTGAAATGCTTCCCCTTGCCCCCTGCCCCCACCAAGGATGAACGCTGACTGTGGTGGGAAAACCAGATGAGGCCCATGCTGCTGGCTGGCTACTCAATGACTTCCATCTTTGCTTCCAGGAGTCTGAATTTTGCCTGAGACTCTCCCAGGCTGGGGAAGTGAATCGGGATTGCTCTAAGCCAATCAGAAAAATGTCATTTTCTCTTGCCAGTGATTCATCAAGAGATGCACATGTGACGCTGATCTGGGCAATGAGATAAAAGGGAGTCTGAGGCCGGGCGCGGTGGCTCACATCTGTAGTCCCAGCACTTTGGGAGGCCGAGGCGGGTGGATCATGAGGTCAGGAGATAGAGACCATCCTGGCTAACACAGTGAAACCCTGTCTCTACTAAAAATAGAAAAAATTAGCTGGGCATGGTGGCACGCACCTGTAGTCACAGCTACTCAGGAGGCTTAGGCAGTAGAATGGCTTGAATCCGGGAGGCAGAGGTTGCAGTGAGCACCACTGCACTCCAGCCTGGGCGACAGAGCAACACTCCGTCTCAAAAAAAAAAAAAAAAAAAAAAAAAGAGTCTGTTGGGTGTTTATTGGAAAGCTTTCCCTCCCTATAAGAGAGAGGTACTGGGTCAAGTAGCTGTTCTTGCTGTCTTTTGGCTTTGGTAGTGCTGGGTTAAGGATATGATACGTGGAGGTATGGCAGCCATTTTGCAACTATGAGGCAATAAACACAAGTATGAAAAAGCCAACATGCTGAGTAGGATGGGAGGGGAAAAATGAAATAGATGTTGCTGAGTCACTGAATCAACTGCTGACTTATTGACTTATTAATAAACAATAAAGGCAAGGTGTGGTGGCTCACACCTGTAATCCCAGCTCTTTGGGAGGCCGAGGCAGGTGCATCACTTGAAGTCAGGAGTTTGAGACCAGCCTGGCCAACATGGTGAAACTTTGTCTCTACTAAAAATACAAACATTAGCCGGGCATGGTGGCACGCACCTGTAATCCCAGCTACTCAGGAGGCTGAGGCAGGAGAATTGCTTGAATCTAGGAGGTGAAGTTGCAGTGAGCCCAGATCATGCTGCTGCACTCCATCCTGGGCAACAAGGCAAGACTCTGTCCCAAAACAAACAGTAAATGCCATGGTGCTTTAAGCCAACATTTAGATGTTTTAACTTGCTTGCAGCTGAATATTTCCTGAGTGGTTTATCGGATAAGTGTAGCTGTGGCAAATTTTATTTTCCAAAAATGGCTCCAATAATATTTCTGGTTCCCCAAGCTCTTCCAGACCCTTGCCACTGCCCTATGAGGAGATGGAGTCTACGTCTCTTCTCCTTGAAACTGGGTGGACCTTTGTGGCTCCCCTCCACTGTGGTAATGACATTAAGTATCTTCCACTAAAAGGCACTACAGCATCCACTTGGCTCTCCCTCGGGAACATGCTTTAGAACTCAGGCTTTATTTTGTGAGGAAGTTCAAGAAAAGTGGAGATGCCCCCAGCCTTCAGACCCAAGTGAGCTTCCAGCCAACAGCTAGCACCAACCTGTCAGCTGTGTGAGATGCCTTTTGGACATGGCTGATCCTGATTGACACCATAAGCAGAGATGAGCCTTCCTGCTGAGCCATGCTCAAATTGTAGATTTCTGAGAAGAAAAAAAGACTGTTGTTCTATGTCTATAAACTTTGGGGTGGTTTCTTATACAGCAGTCAATACCTGGAAATCCCTTCCTGCAATGCTTCCTATAAATGCCAGGACTGATAAAAACAGTACTGAAATAATTTGAAGGAGGGACAGATGAGAGGGTCAGGGGAGGGACAAGGGAACAGAGAAGTCTTCTGGGAAGAGGTGTCTTTTTTGGCAAAATAGCTTTATTGAGATATAACTCACACATATTCACCCATTGAAAGTGTACAATTCAATGCCTTTTAGTATATTCAGAGTTGTATAACCATTACCACAACCAATTTTAGAACATTTTCATCACCCCAAAATGAAATCTCACACCTTTTAATCGTCCCCTCCAATTCACCTATGCTCCCTTCCCCCAGGGCCTTAGACAACCACGAATCCACCACAGGCTCTATAGATTTGCCTATTCTGAACATCTCCAAACCTGCCAAAGCTATGCCATTAAAAGGCACTACAGCAAAGAGCATCATGCAACTTGTATCACGCTGGGGGCCTGGCAGAGAAGTGGTGGTGGTGGCATCAGGCAGGGCCTGATCCATGGGGTCCAGGGTGACCATGTGGGTCATGCAAATGGCATTACACAATATGCCATGCCTGGCTAAGGTTTTTGTAGGAAAGGGGTTTCACCATGTTGCCCAGGCTGGTCTTGAACTCCTGGGTTCAAGCAATCCTTCTGCCTTGGCCTCCAAAAGTGCTGGGATTACAGGTGCAAGCCATCACGCCTAGTCCCTTGAATACTGTTCTGCAATCATCCCCCAGTTTCCACCAGGTATTGGTTCCAGGATCTATTAGGATACTAAAATCTGAGTATATTCATGTACTGTAGTTGACCCTGCAGAACCCCTGGAAATGAAAAGTCAGCCCACCCTATACACAAGTTTCACATCCTATACTGTATTTTCCAACCATGTTTCACTGTGGATGTGGAACCCTCTGACAGAGAGGGCTGACTGTATTGAAAAAATAAAAAACAACAAACAAGGGTTGTGTTAGTGGACCCATGCAGTTCAACCCGTTTTTTCATGGGTCAACTGTATATCCAGAGCTTATAGGAAAATACCTCTCCCAGTAACCCTGCTCACCATTTCTCTCTTAAGCTATTATTATGATTGGCCATAGTTTGCTATTTAAATTTAAATTTAAACTTAAATAAAAATTTGGCCTTTCAGTTATGCTAGCCACATTTAAAGTGCTCAGTAGCCATATGTGGCTAATGGTTACTATTTCGTACAGCACATATTTAGAACATTCCCATCATTTCAGTAATTTTCACTAGGAACATTCTGTGGAAAAACGGGGCCATCAGGCCGGGCGCGGTGGCTCAAGCCTGTAATCCCAGCACTTTGGGAGGCCAAGACGGGCGGATCACGAGGTCAGGAGATCGAGACCATCCTGGCTAACACGGTGAAACCCCGTCTCTACTAAAAAATACAAAAAACTGGCCGGGCGAGGTGGCGAGTGCCTATAGTCCCAGCTACTCAGGAGGCTGAGGCAGGAGAATGGTGTAAACCCGGGAGGCGGAGCTTGCAGTGAGCTGAGATCTGGCCACTGCACTCCAGCCTGGGCGACAGAGCAGAGTGAGACTCCGTCTCAAAAAAAAAAAAAAAAAAAAGTGAGGGGGACCATCATAATTTGAGTCCATCTTCTGGAAAAATCCTGGGAAGGGGACAAATGAGAGATGTTTGGCATTGTGCAATGGTAATTTGGTATTTAATTTTCAAAAATGTTTACCCAATTCCTATTCAGCCAGGTGTGGCGGCTCTTGCCTGTAATCCCAGCACTTCGGGAGGCTGAGGTGGGAGGACTGCTGGAGCCCAGGAGTTTGAGACCAGCCTGGGTAATAATAGGGAGATCCTATTTCTACAAAACACCAAAAACAAAACAACAATTTTGCTGTTGTGGAGTCAAGACAGTCCTGGGTTAAAACCTTTGCTCTCCTTAGCTGTGGAAACCATGGGTCTCAGCTTTCTTATCTGTTAACGGTAGCTACTTCTTCATAGTGCTGTTTTGAGGATTAAGTGAAAGTCCAGGATTGTGTCTGGCACACAGTAGCTTCTCAGTAAATGTTTTCCTTCTATGTCAGGGAATGGCTCCTTTATCCCGTTTTGGGTGCATGGGATGCCATACCTGGGTGGCCCTGAAGGGTAGGTGCTCAGGTGTTATGTTCTGTAGATGGCATATCCTTGGGAAAAGCAAGGCAATTAAAAGCAGCGAGAGATTGCTCCGGTTAAGTTTTCTCCTATAACTTTCCCCCATGGGTCAGCTGGGTAGAATCTGCCATTTTCCTAATACTCACTGATGGTAGAGGCATTCGGAAGTACAATAGCTGAAGCAGGAGCTGAGTGGAGAGAAAGGTCTGTCTCTCAGGCCCAACAAGAGGTTACACATCCATGGCTGTCCAGTTTGGTGGTGCAGGCCCTGAGATCAAACCAACCTGGATTTAAATCCCCAAACCTATACTCTAAGCTATGTGACCTTGGGCTAGATACTTCACCTCTCTGGCCTTATGAAATAGGAATAATAATACCGTCTAGGTTGTTAGTATTAAATGAGGTAAAGCACTGAAAACGTGTAGGCACTGTGTTAAATCATTAAATAAAAATGGGAATGAACTTATAGGCTTGACATGGGGGATTAAATAATCTATGAAGACAAGTACATGGCAAACGCTTAATTAATGTTGCTTATTTTTATGTTTGCAAACTGACATAAAGGAGAGGCCTTTAAGAAAGGCAGTGGGGCAATTTGCGCGTTGATGCTCTGTAACATCCTAGGAGAAACTGTGCAGCGTACCCGCTGGGACCAGAATTCAACCAGGTAAAGGGCAGAAAACCACAAATACCTCCAGGCGTTCCTATACCTCCAGGCGTTCCTGGGGCAGCGCGGCCTCACCAAAATCATGGAAAACTTCGTTTGCTAAGAATCGTCAGTTCTTCTAAAGGAGGCGCTTTACGCATCTCAGTCTGTGAAATGGGGCCCAGGACCCAGCTAGAGGTGCGTTCTCGGCCTGAGGACCGAGTATTTTCTGAGCTCCAGTATCGCAGGAGGACAGCGCCGCCGACACCCTAGAGACTAGCGGGCACCGCCTTGACGCGCCTTCACCACTTGGCGGTTCCGGGTTCGCGCTTCACCGCGCCACACAACTCACGCCCGAACCACGTGACCAGGGCCGTGGCTCCGCCCCGCTCCCGCGCCGCGCTCCGTTTCCGGTAGGGGCGGAAAGCGGAAGTGTGGGAGGGTCTGCGGGGCGGGCTCAGGGAGGTCCGCCGGGAGGATGGAGCAGTGAGCGGGTCTGGGCGGCTGCCGGCAGCGCCATGGAGACGGTACAGCTGAGGAACCCGCCGCGCCGGTGAGGGGCCACTGGCTAAGAGGACGGGCATGGGGGCAGGGCAAGAAAAGGCGGGAACTGACTAAGGGGAGACACCTGTGTGGGAGTCACCGGAGCGAAGCAACCCAGCTGATGGGGCACCTGCTGAGTGAGGGGGTTGGGGGGACGTCTGGTGAGTGAGGGTCCGGCTGAGGGGAGCATCTGCTAAGGGAGTTAGACTTGGGACCGGTTACAGGGAGCACTCGCCGTGGGGAGACTCTGCTGAGGAACGTGGGGACAAGTTAGGGAGAGTACCTGCTGAGGCTGGGCCACTCGGGGGAACGCTCTCCAAGCAGAAACTCACGGAGGTAGGGGCGAATGCTGAAGCAGGGTGAGAATCTGTGAGGGATCTCTTTAAGTGGGTGGATCGAGACCTGGCCAAGAGGAAGGCCGGGTGGACTTTCAAGGGTCCCAAGTCCCACTTGAGGGGTGCGGTGGTGGGGCTCTGTGGAGCGGAAAAGCTTTGCGCCTAAGGCTGAAGGCATGCAAAGAAAGGTTGAGGGTCTAGCAAGGGAGGGGATGGTGGAGAGTAGCATTTCAGAGGATGCTGTTGGTGGTGTCCCCACTGTAGGATGGCATCTTTTATTACTGATGTTCAGAGTGTCTTCCTAATGGTCTTCACATCCTCCTCAGCTCTTCAGAAGCTGACATTGGGAGGTAGGTAAGGATATAAGAGGATATTTTCGAGATGGGGAGACCGAGGTCCAGAGCAGTTGGGAAACGTGTTTCCTTCTTTACTCCGGGTCACTGAACCCTGCCAGACTGTGCCCTTTTCAGGCCTCAGTTGTTTTGTGAATATCAGTACCAGATCCTAGTGGTACCTGGAATTGCTTTAGGTCAAGATCAGAATGGTGGCTGATCCTAGAAAATCTCATCTCCTGAATTTCCCTTGTGGACATCCCGGGTCTTTTGCCAATCTGCCACATCTGGAGAAAAGTAGGGACTAGAGACCGAAGAAGTCATGCTTCTCTGAGGTGCAGTGTGGTTACTTCTATTTTACAGAGATGTCTGACTTCCTGCAGCAGAATGAGCTCTAAAGAAGGAAGTGTTCAGGGTGTGGAAGTGCAGGGCAACCAAGAGGTGAAGAGAAGGGATTGACTGCCTGGACAGCACTCTTAGGGATTGTTTGAGCTTGGGGGTGTTTGAGGTGCACAAACATTGCAGAAGGCAAATAGGTGGTTGGGATGGGCTTTGGATTCACCCTAGCGTAGTGTGCTGAGACTGTAATTGTAATGATTATTACACTCATATTGCACTTAGCGGGTGCCAGGCACTGTTCTAAGTGCTTTCCATGTCTCCTGCTGAAGCATATGAAATTGCTGATATTTGACCATCTTTGAACCATAGAAATGGTAACTTCATATCATATGGCTCAGTTTATTGACTCATTTGAACCTCACAACAATCCTGGGTGGTAGATATCCCTATATGTCTGTTTTACAGATGATAAAACTGAGATACAGACAGGGTAGTGATTTGCTGGGAGAAGTCATAGCAAGAGGTAGAGCTAGGATTTTAATATCCGTGGGGTCTGGTCCAAAGTCCATTTTTTTTTTTTTTTTTTTTTGAGACGGAGTCTCACTCTGTCACCCAGTGTGGAGTGCAGTGGCGCAATCTCAGCTCACTGCTGTCTCCGCCTTCTGAGGTTCAAGCGATTCTCCTGCCTCAGCCTCCTGAGTAACTGGGACCACAGGTGCGTGCCACCACGCCTGGCTAGTTTTTTGTATTTTTAGTAGAGACAGGGTTTCACCGTGTTAGCCAGGATGGTCTTGATCTTCTGACCTTGTGATCCACCCATCTCGGCCTCCCAAAGTGCTGGGGTTACAGGCGTGAGCCACCGCACCCGGCCATGCTCTTAACTGCCTCACTCTGATGCCTCTCTGAAAGTACCCGTGTTTCACAGGTCTCTGTGTATGTTAGCAGATATTTGCTATAGTACCACAGTGATCCAAATGTAAATGCACACTAGTTATGTTTCTTTCTGAACTACGTTCGTTTGTTCTTCTTGGTTTCTTTCTCTGAGGCCTTGATTTAATTGAAAAGAGGATTAGGAATCTGAGTTTTGTTTTTCTCTTTGCCTTGTGTTACATAATCTTGGGCAGAGGATTAAAGTTTCTTGGCATGCTCATTCCTGTACCTTTTGGATTTTAAAAAATTTATATAAAGTACAAGAGAAGAGCATTGCAAGACGGGGTTCTTAATTGGCTGGTGATTACCTGCTCATTGTAACTAGTAGACTGCCTAATTTGAAGCAGATCAATTTTATTATCATTTACATCAGTTTATTAGGACATGACAAAGTATATGGAGTGGGTGGTTTAGACAACATAAATTTGTTTTTTCACCGTTCGGAAGGCTAGAGATCTGAAATCAAGGCATTGTCAGAGTTGTTTCTTTTGAGGCCTTTGCTTGCCTCCTAGATAGCCATCTCCCTGTGTCTCCATGTTCTTCCGTCTATACCTGTCTGTGTCCTAATCTCCTCTTATGAGGACACCAGTAATATTGGATTAAGTCATGCCCATATGACCTCATTTTATCTTAATTACTTCTTTAAAAACCTTGTCTCCAAATACAGTCACATTCTGAGATGGTGGGTGTTAGGACTTCAACATATGAATTGGGGTAAGCTGGGGACACAGTTTTATTATTAAAAATTTTGTCCATTTATCATGTATATTTGTTGTAATCCTTATCAAACTCTGTGTGGAAAAAGAAATAGTTATACATAAAATGAACTTTATGGGAGTTCTGAAATGGGAGAAAGCTTTGAGAATTAGTCAAACCTGTAAGTGACTACTTCATAGACACCATTATTTGTGTTTGGAAAGATACAGGTGTCTTTTCAGAAATTCAGATGGCATGTGTTGCCAACAACCCCAGTGCAGGAAATGCCCTTTGTGTTCATGAGTTTGACATTTGTGTGTGTGTGATTAAGTGAATGATGACAGATTGGTGTCTCATATAAGAGTTAATAATTTAAAAAAATGATATAGTGGAAGGTGTAGAGTGCATTCCTAGGATGCTGGCCATCCACATGGTCATCTGACTTAGGAGAGAAGCATCCACTAGTATTTGGTCCATGGATGCTCTGTTGACCAGGCTTGTTCATTTATGAGCAAGTGCTGAAACTGTCTGGAACCTGGGGAAGTCCCAGATAAGAGAACTGCATTATCAGAGTTAGGCTGTTTTGGTAATAGTGTTCTGTGAAGAATCATGGTATAAAATATTATTATGAATCACTTATCAAAATATTTTTTATAGAAATGTTGATAATTCAGTAATACTTTTTTGGTGAAATTCTGTTTTATTGTGATAATTCACAAAGATTGCTGATGAAATTCGTGATTCCCGTCATTACATTTGTGAATCTATTTTGCAAATATATTTTGACCACTTCTTGGTTAATAGTGCCTTAAGTTCAAGTTGTTTTTAATAGCCCCAGATCAAAAACAAACAAAAAACCACGTAGGTTGTTTCAAAGAAGTATCTGAGCAGTCCTATAAAGTTTGTCTGTCAAAGTATTATCAGAAGCTTGCAGCTGTCTCTCTCAAGGCAGTGTCAATTTCCTTTGTTATGCTGTGGGTCCCTGAAGTAGTTGAAATAGTGACTTTTGCATTTTGTAAACCACAGAGAGTCAACACTTCAAAGAAACATATTTGATCTTCCTTTGTATAAGCTGTTTATACAACTTTGATTATACTTGAGAAATAAGGTATTGTCCAATGTTTATACAATCACAAGTCAGGACTTTACCAGAAAAACCCTGGCATATGAGATGTTCGTTCTGACTTGAGTTTATAGAAGTTTCAGTTCTGAAGTTTAAGAGGAGTTTCACTTCATCCCTTTTCATTTTGAAGGTAGGCGTTTTTATGATGTCATTGGTATCTGATTTTTAGGACCTTTTGGTTTTCAAAGGTCACTGTGATCATTTTGTTTTGTTGATACTAAGTTAAGGCAGTTTTGACTTGGAGCAGTTCTCCATTTTTCTAGTACATAGTCCTTGATATTCATAAACTTCTGTAAGATTGTCCTTTTGAGATCAGTGTTTATTGGTAGATACACTTGATGTGGTCAGGGTTTTTGTTGGTTTGTTTTATTTTTTGTCTTCTGATTTTAATCTGTTTTATTTAGGAAGGTACACATTTGTGTGTGTGTGTGTGTGTGTATGTATGTGTATTTAAGTCTTTTCTTGTAATAATTGATATTATCCAGCTAGTCTAAACCTTTTTTTTTTTCTACAAAGAAGTCTCCAGTGTGACTACTTCCATATTTCACCATTTCCTCAGCTCTCTATTCTTTGTTGTTCTTTGTAGTTTCAGGAAGCCATTGTGTAGACTACACACACACACACACACACACACACACACACACACACATACATATTCCTTGGCAGGTTCCTTCTTTAAGCTCATTAGTAATTTTTAGAGATCTCAGAGTTTTAAAGAAGTG